ACTGCTCTGTAGATTTTCAGACAATTCAGAGCATTGTTATTTTTTTTTAATGTAAATAACATGATGATGGATGATTGTTTAACGTCCAACGGCAAATTAAATGCATATTCAGGACGAAAACATGCTATTGCGATATGAGTATTAACCCTGCTTTGTAATAGACCGACACGCTGAGCCAAATTTGTAACGTGCTTTTTCACAAGCTAACAGTCCTCAAGAAGAGATGTCACCCACTACCCGTACACATTATTATGACTCCAAGCCGACACATTTTTACTGTTAATCTTTAATTACGCGTGCTTAGCGGGGAAGCAGCAAACACCAATTTTACAGTTTTTGGTGTGAACCGGCCGGGGCTTGAATCTACGACCTCCCGTACTCAAGCCAAACACGCTACCACGAGACGACCAGGGCGGTAAGGTAAATAACAACTACTAAACAGACTAATTTAAAACAAAACAATTTACGAATAACAAATGTGACAGACATGAACCAACGACAACCACTGAACTACGGGCTCCTGACTTGAGACATGTAGCGGTGTCAAACATGTAAGCGTTCAACCCTCCCCTTGACCTAAACACCAGAATAACAATAAACATAACAACAATAAACACAACGCACATTTAAGAGTACTTGCAGTTAATTAAAGCAAGTTAAAGCCAATTACGACTAATAAAGAAATCATGTTCTCCTAGTCTAAGGTATCAATCAGTTTGCTCAAACGGAATTAGTGTAAAGACGTAACAGTAGGAGATACGGATGAATTTGATTAATAACATACTATAAGTGGTATCGAACAGATGTAGGATCATGAGTTCTCAAAACTGTGTGTATATATATATAGCAGTATAAAAATAGCTATGCTTTAATTTATCAAAAATAAAAAACAAAGTTTGTATCGATAAAAACAATATCAAAAATTTTACTCCTGTGTTAAATTGATAACCCTTGGAATCAATGATTTTACATGGATCGTAGCTTAATTTACGGGCTCTATAAAAGTCACTGTAAAAAACAAAATGTGATATACCGTTTTAAGAAGACTTCTATAGGTACAGCCAAACTAAATCTTTGTACAAAAGAATTTGGTAAAGGTCTCAATTGAATTGTGGTAACGAAATCACTGACTATATATAGCCACTGTACCAGGTTAGGAGTGTTTCCTATTGTATGGCAAAACAATTGACCTATTCTCTGATAGTAATGATGTAGAAATCTGGAGGATTAACATCGTAGTGTCTGGTGTAACAATCGATATTTTCGAACGTTATTATGCTTGGAAGTACAATTATAAAACTTGAAAGTAACATAAGCCTACAGAAAAGCACAAAACAACTTTTAACCAAAAATGATATGATGTATTGTCCTGATGTCTTCTTTGACCAAAGATAGCAATCCATTACTTTTAGCTGCTCCGATAAATATACCAATACTAACGCCTACTGTTAATTTATTTAAAGAGCTGAAATGGTTAAATTTCAAATCTAGGATTTCTTATCATAAATTGATTCTTGTTCATAAAATTCTCAATAATAAAGGAACTTATTACCTTAAAGAGCTATGTTGTCCAATTATAAATCTACACAGCAGAAATTTAAGATCTTCTGCAAATAATAATCTAGCTGTAGTGAGGCCTAATACAAATTCGATGAAAAAATCATTCACATATAGCTCCTCAATACTTTGGAATAAACTACCAAATGAAATAAAACTATATGCAAATCTAGGTACTTTTAAAAGAAAATGTGTAGATTTTTTTAACTATAAATGATATGTAACAACTCTCTAACTCTATCATGTCTTTTTAATGTTTGTGTATAAAGTATTATTTGTTTTTCTTTTTCTACAGACAATTATCTAACATGAAAGTTTAGTTATATGTTCAAAAATTGTAATATCTGTTATATTTGTTCTGTATGTTTTTGTGAGGGCCTCAAGGTAGATAAGTGAATTCTAATTGAGTCACCCTCTTTAAATAAAGTCATTATTATTATTATTATTATTATTATTATTATTACTATTAGTTATATAGTTTGGTTCTGACCCCTAAATATCAATAGAGGGTTAGTAAAATCCATAGGCGGTGATGCCGTAGGGAAAGTGTATAACGAATTTATCGCACAGTGGACTCCTGCTAAGTATTGTATAAATTTTTTTAATTTAACAATGAAATAAAATAACAATAATAGAAGACGTGACGTCATGATACCCCTATGAACACTACTGACCCCGTACGGATCCATAGGCGGCCACCACGTGATAGCGTGAAACCAATCACATCGTCATTAATTTAGCCGAGGTGCAATTAATACTTTATCGGTTATTGATACATGTTTGACGATATAACAATGTACACTACAATCTGAAATCACCACACAAAAATTCTTATCGCAAAATGTATTTTTTTTTAAATTTTCTTTCGATGGTCAGAAGAAAAATGACAACCGTGTGAATGCACTGTCACTGGGTTCATACAACTACGGAAAGATTGCAAACCTTAAGGAGTTCATCCATCTTGGGTTAGTATTTTCCATGATTTATTTCTTGGTTTAGTTTTGATTCAGGTCCTGTATGGATATAACGCTCTACGTATATCGATTGTCGTAAGCTTTTTTCTCAAATATCTCTTGTCAGATCATGTTCACTGAACGCTATTTTTTTTCAATCAATTTATGACTTTTGAACAGCGGTATACTACTGTTGCCTTTATTTACTACTACGTTACGGCCACCTATGCAACTTAAGTAACAATGAGCCCACTTTGATATGTACACGCAATACACACAAGCACCATGTATATATTACTCTAAAAAGAAACTAATTTTTTAAACTGCATGCGTCATGAACTTTTGTGTTTATTTTATGTTGTTGTCTGATTAATCAAAATCTATTCTTGTAACAGATGTTTTATTTTCGTAAATCCCCTACTTTCAAACTGCATCGTAACAGTCTTCTTTTGTATAAATAATCTGTAAATCCTTGCTTAGAAGAAAGGGTGTGTGCGATGATCGCCGTGTTTGCTGATCCGTGTTTTCCATTATTTTCGTCTCTCCGTGCAATTCCCCAACGCTAAACAGACTTAAGAAATTGATTTAATATGGTTTCGACTATTTTTATACGCTCTTGTTCTCAAATAGATTATACTTTATTTTTCTACATAAGGAAATGCCTATACCAATATAAGTTTATGTAAAAATAAGGAGATGCGGAATGGTTGCCAACGAGACATCTATAAACCAAAGTTAGAATAAAGTGGATGTAAGTAATTATAGGCAACCGTACGGCCTTCAGCAATGAGAAAAACCCATACCGTATAGAAGTAAGGAATATGACAGTTGTTTTCCATTCGTTTGATGTGTTTGAACTTTTGATTTTGCCATTTGATAAAGGACTTTCCGTATTGAATATTTCTTGGAGTTCGGTATTTTTGATATTTTACTTTTATTGTGTACAATTCGTTATATTGACAATTTTTTTGGAACAACCCAAACAGACATCATGGGTTTACGTGATATATTTGGACCCAGCAGCAAAATCGTGTAAAAATATATTATAGATATACAACATAACTGAATCAAATAATTCAATTAACATACAATTCAATCTAACAAAGGCACCAACAAACACAGTTTTTTGAAGTAGATAGAAACTATGATCTAATACGGTGTTAGTATAGAAGAATATAATGACATTAGCACACGTCCCCACACAGTACTATAAACATAATTAAAGTGTTTATATGTTGTACAAGGAGGAGTTTGTCCAGAATAGAACCTACTTGATCCAAATAAGTTTTATCCTGATAAGGCTCAGGTAGAAAATATGTGAAAGACTTTTGTGAATTTCTTTCGCTTTCTTTTTTTCCCTCTAACAATCTTTTGTTTTTACATCATACTAGGAAATGCTTAACCCAAATATTACTGTGTTCATTCATTTCAAACGTCATAAATTCATCCTGAAAAGATTAGAATGGCGATAAAAACATGTACGTGCAAAATGACGACTCTATTTAAAAGATTTTTGGACAAACACATGTGCCCGATATTCTCCTGTCAGCTACAACATAGTAAAATATAACTTGATGATTATCTTAAATTGTTTATTTTTATTATTTGGTGGCATGAACTATAATATTCAGCAACTAGTCCGCATACTATATAATAACTAAAAAATATCAACACGACATTTACAAATTATACATGTTTTTTCTTAGTTTCTTTCAGAGGACTTCAAGGATCCAAGTATACTTTTCGGAACCCAAATATATTCAACAAGCATTTACAAATGGACTTCCTGTAAAACAATATTGATTGTATGATACTATACCAATAACTGATGTATACTCTGTAAAAAGGTGGAAAAAAAAGTTACGCCATAACCGGCCCTGTGAAGACATTCAATATTGTCTGCTAAAGGCATTTTGTTTACGATGCTGTTGCCAAAAAGCTCAGTTTCTTAAAACTGTTTTATAAAAGTACAGTTCAATCAAATTCGTTTTATAAAATGATTACATTACATGTATGTTTCATGAGGATCCGTGAATGCTTTTTTCAAAATAAAATTGTTTAATAAGGGATTACTCTCTTTAGTAGGTAGTCTTGCCAAATATAATATAAACTGGACTCTAATTTATATATAGTTTTTTTTTATTGATAACCTTATCACTTTCAGTCGAGTTACTACATTTGTTGAATATTTTCTGTAACACCCAATTTATATGTAAAACAAAATGGATCAACAATGTTGTTATCACAGTTTGTACGAGGTTTGCTCTTTCTACATGCTTTCTACTTGACATATTTACACACTTGTTATTGCTTTGTTTTTTTTTTCTTTTAAAACAAATCATATGAATTGATTTATTTGACAATAGAGTTTTGAATCCAGTTGATTCCAATATAAATGTTTTAAATCTAGTGTTTTAGTGCTAAACGGGAAATAACTGCACCATGATTTAAAATATATTCAACCAAACATTACCTGTGTCAGCAGATTTATAGCATATATACTTCCCTGTTGACCGACTTCATTTTAATATTGGTCTCGGGTGTTTCTCTTAAACGTAAGCCTTTGCAAGGTGAGTACAACATTGCCATTTCTCTTCATTTCGCTTTGAGAAAAAAAATTTTGTTCCTATTTACGAACTTTGTTAACTCAGAAGTGACATATATACAGTGGCGGATCCAGGATAGCGCGCATAGGGCTTACGCCCCCTTTTGGTAAACCAACCACTCATGTTTCTCACGATTTATATGATTTTTAAGCATACAATTGTCAATTTTATTTAATCTAATCAGTTTTCTGGAATTACACCCCTATTTAACAAATACTGGATCCACCTGATATAAAGTCCCCTTAAATAAGCAAAGTGATGATATACATTGTACAAAAATTAAAATACGCACATTTACTTAACATATTTAGCAGTAAAATTTCAAGGTAAATATTAAATGGGTCAGTGATTTTCATCTTTCGATTAAATGTATGTCTGTATATGTATGCTATTTCATCCTTTTAGGTCAAATTAAGATGTAAAAATTGTAAATGTGATAACTGAGAAATATATGAATGGGTTATGATTTTGCCATGACATATATTTATAGGTCGTGATTTTCACAAGACCTCAATATATGAATTGGGATATTTTTAAATCTCAACCGCACGTATACGTTTTGTATTTTTCAGTGTCAGTTTAAATGGTTGTCAAAGTTTGTTTCCTGTCATATCTGTTATTAACTGTTTTGGCATCAATCAGGCCGTTCTAATTATTTTTTCCTTTAATTCTCTCCTACAAAAATGACGATATGGTATGATTGCCGATAATACAAATATCAACTACAGACAAAATGACATGGATGTAAGTCTATTTGTTATGCAAAACTCAGGTATCAATTATTATAGTATATGTGAACATCGTGACAATGATTCATTTTCAGGATGGCATCTTCTACTGGAAGGTTGTGTGGTCCATGTGAAGCAAGACATACAACTACGACTGCTATTAGCTGGTGTATAGACTGTGATGATGGGCTATGTTCTTCATGTTTAGAGGACCACAAAGTCAACAAAGCAAGTAAGACACACCAGACCATTCCAGTAAGTCAGTACGTAGAAATAGAATCGGTTTCTTCACTTATTAAGCAAGAATGTGAAGAACATGATCAGAGACTAACCTTTTATTGCCTTGATCATTACCTCACAGCTTGTGCCCTATGTGTACTAGAAAAACATAAACAATGCACCAGACTAAAACCTATCGATGAACTTGCCCGTCATGCTAAGACGTCGACAGAACTGTTTGACATTGAAAGAGGGATCAAGGAGCTGGATAAAACTGTAGATGAACTACAAAATCACCGACAAAGAAACATTGATACAATAAGAGACCAACGAAAAACCATTTCAACGGAGATAAAATCTTTTCGAAAACAGATAAACAAGCATCTAGATAATTTAGAATCGGATTTGTTAAAGAAGTTAGAATCTAAAAGCGACCAAAATATATCCGAAGTAAACATGCTTTTAGCAAAATTGAAGGGAAGAGGAGCAAAAATAAAGAGTCTTGGAAAAACAATCCATCAGTTAAAAGAAACACTATCCGATGTTCAAGTCTTTTTAGCAACAACAAGTCTCGGTGAAAAGTTGCAAAAAGAACAAAATTGGGTTTCAACGTTATGTAACCAGAATGCCGCTAAAGAGTCTGTACTAGAACTATCTACTGATCCACAACTGAACAATTTGTTATCCGACGTGACATATTTTGGCACAATACATGTTGTAAGAAATCCATGTCAGATTAAGACAGGAGCATGGGAGCAGCCAAGAGCACAGCTACATGTTCCGATAACTGCAGTGAGAGACATCGATCAGACAGAACTGGAATTAATCCGCGAGATTTCGTTTGAGGACGGTTCAGAGTTAAGAGATTGCGTCATTGTCAATGATGGTAGAATGGTTTTTGCAGATTTCCAGAGAAATAAAGTATTAGTTTATACTCGTGATGGACAGTTGTCGAAGTCCATCATTGTCGACAAGTCTCCTTTCGGATTGGCTTTGATAAACCCTCATACTGTGGCCGTTACATGTGTAGAAGATAAAACAATAAACATTGTGAATATTGATGAAAGTGTTGCGAAGCAGAAGATAAATGTAGGAAAACCTTGCTCTTGGTTATCTTTCAACAATGCAAAACTGTATGCCCTCGTTACAAACACAGGAATAATGGAGTTTGATTTAGGAGGAAATCTTATCAAAATAATACCAGTAAATGTTCTAAGTAATGACGGTTATTTATCATCTTATAAAGATAGATTTTGTTATACATGTTATAATTCATTATTGACATGCTGCGATAGTAATGGAAAAACAATCTGGGAGTCGAAAATTGCTGATTCAGGTGTAGCAGTTGACAATTATGGAAATTATTTCGCTGCAAAGTACTTCGATCGCACATTGCACGTAGTATCAGCCGACGGAAAAACAACAAAACAACTTCTGACCATGGAAAATTGGAAAGATTGTCTTGAAGGTGTCTCCTTTGACAAAAACAGCAGTACATTACTTGTAGCATGTACTTCAGGGACTGCAAGGCTTTATCGTGTGAAGTAAAAAATGAAATGCAATGTATGTTTACCGGATCCAAAATTTTCCATTCGTTTAATGTGTTTGAGCTTTTGACTTTCCGTTTTGAATTTTCCTTTGAGTTCGGTATTTTTGTTATTTTACTTTTTTCTATAATTTAATATAAGCAAGTCCTTACAAAAAGTACAGTTAGTGGATTTGACAATTTTAAAATGGAAATGGAATTGTAATACAATATCAATTTTTATGTAAAGATGAATTAACGGATATGTGAATATACATCGATCAGATATCAACCAAACCATACAAACAACAAGAACGAAACTAAACATCTAGGAGTGGCCAATATCTGGTTTTAACAATAGACATCTGTGTATATATATTTGTGCGATTCCGACGCATACAATTTTTATAGTGTATTTTCAATTTGTTTATCCTTGTATGTATTATTTAATTAATTAGTATTTTATCAGGAAAGTGTGTAAATGTAATTATGTTTTACTTACTTTCTATCATCTGCAACTACTTTCTTTTCCGTCTTTCTTAGAATTATTTGCAATATTATAGAAAATGGAAACGGGGAAGACGACAACCTTACCAAAGAGCAGAAAACTGCCTAAGGCCACCAATGTGTCCTCAACGCAGCGAGATAATCCTGCACTCGCAGGCGGGCGTCATCTGGCCACCCATAGAAATGTATATTAAATGGTATTAAATTGGTAAATTCAACAACACGTACCGTTATCTTGATGATATTTTTTTGTTAAATTATCAAAAATTCTCGAAATATACTGCCGAAATTTACCCAAAGGAACTTACTTTAAATCAAACAAATGTTAACAGCAATAGCTGTCATTTCCTGGATTTAGATTTTTTAGTTTTACACGATAAACTCTACACAAACATTTACGACAAAAGGGACAATTTTTCTTTCCCTATTATTAATTTTCTTTTTAGGACGGTAGTGTTCCTTTGACATCGTACCCCATCTTACTGTGTTTATATATCCTAACTCGTTCCCTATGCCGTGTCTGTAGTGACGTTTTGGATTTCAATAAACGTTATCTATGTATTAATGGTTAATGAGGTCAGGTGCTTCGTTATCACAAATTACTAAAATTCTTTACTAAATTCTCCCATAGATATAACTATGTGATTAGTAAGTACCTGTAGAAAACGTATTTCAAACAGAATAGCACATCCTAAATTTTTACAGTGATTTTGAATTGCTTACCGAGTCCGGAAATTTAGATACGATCCGGCTAAACTTATCAATCCTTTAAACATGTTAAATAAACTTATTCTAAAAAATCAATACTGTAGATAGATCTTTGTTTTTATTGGTATGAATATTGATGTTGCTCTCAGTTAATCAAAATCTTGCTTAATATTATTGTTATACGCATATGCAAATTCACAGTTCTACAATCTGTCAATACTTATATTTTGGCATTGCACAAGGTCATGATTTAACTTTGACTGTCAATGACGTATTTACACTAAATTCATTGGATGTTGGATGTGTAATGATTGATACTTGATGTTATTGGCTTTGAACTAGATATCAGTAACTGCTAGTACTCACATATCAGTAACTTGTGTCTTTTTTGTTGTGAGGGATGTATAAATTCCCTGACACGTCCGGTCTGCGTGTTTGTTAGATGTTTTTTATGCTTTGTATCGATCTGATGAGTTAAGTCCTTTCCAACAGATTTTTATAGTTTGTTAGTATGCGGGTTTGGCGCCATAAAACTTGTTTAACTCCGCCACATTCTTTATATGTCTGTACCTAGTCAGGAGCTTATAGTTCAGAAGTTGTCGTAAATTGTTTCATTATAAATTATGCCGCAAGTTTTACCAATTGAATTGTATCATATTTTTCACGTCAAGGCCTTTTATAGCCGACTATACTGCATAGGTTTATCTCATTGTTGACGGCCGCATGATTGCTTACATCCAACTCATTTGAATTTAGGTCGATAACAAAGGCTAGAGGGTCTTGACTTGGGACAGGCGTAAACATACGGCGGGGTTAAACATGTGTCGTGAGATATTAACCCTCCCCTATACCCCTAGCAAATGTAGAATAAACACACAGCAATACACACAATAAAACTCAGTTCAAAAGATGTGCGAGTCCGATGTTAGAATAGGTAACATAAGAAATTAAGCAAAATGACAATAATCAACATACATTAACAAAAGACTACTATAAGTTAGTGACATGCCAACCCCAGACCTCAATTAAACTGATCGAACGATTAAGTCTTCGTCACATAAGAATCAACAACAATTCCTCCTGTTAAGGGGGTTCAGTTTCCTGCAATCATACAATCATGCAATTATACGAGAAAAACATAACCTGTAAGTTTTTTTTTGGGTTTTTAATGTCAGTTCTATGATTTTGGCTGTTTAATCCGAATTATTGTCAGTTTAACCAGATACGTCTGTTTGGGTTTCTCACAAAATGTTATTAATATAACGGAACTATAAACAACTGTCAAACATATGGTTGGTTTAGCAAGTTGCACAAACAGATCGAACCCCATCATTCTCTTAGGAAAATGCCTGTTCTATGTCAGGAATATGAAAGTTGTTGTTCAGTCGTTCCGTCGGTTGATTTAGATTTATATGGTTTTCTGGACTTCCCTTTTTTGGAATTTACCATTGGAGTTCTGTATCTTTGTTAATATGAAATTACGAGACGTGGTATGATTGCCAATAAGACTATTTTCCACCAGTGTTAAAATGTCACGGATATAAGCAATTATAGATGCTGAAATTGAGAAAACCCATTGTGCAAAGTCAGCTATTTAAGAATCTGATATAAAAAAGTACAACAATTCAAACGAGAAAACTAATGTATTTATCTATAACAACACCATATACGAAAAACCTATATGACAGACATTAACCAACAACAACCACTAAATTACAGGCTTCTTACTTGGGACAGGCACATAAAAAATGTGGCAGGTACAACTTTATTTGTCAACAATGAGAAATAGATTTTACTATATCATTCTTTCCATATCTATCTACAGGAATATGACAGTGGATCCAGTCGTTCCGTTGGTTGACATATTCAAACGTTTGGTTGTCGGGTTTTATGGGCTTCCCACTTTTAAGCTCACCTTGCCCGATGGTGATGTGAGTTTTTGCAATCCCTGTGCGTCCGTCGTTTCTCGTCAGGTGTCCGTCATTTACCGCCTGGTGGCCGTCATTTGTCGTCCGCCATCCTTAAACTTTTTAAAAATCGTCTTCTCTCAAACTGCTCAATGGATCTGGTACATTTTTTTCAGGTTAAACAATCTACTTGGCCGCCGTGTTTAAAAATATTACATATGGGTCAATCTACAGTTTTGGCTAATTTATCTAAAACTAAAGCAATAAGAGCAAAACCGGAAGGATAAAAATGATCAGCATGGCAAAACAAGTTCCATAGACCATGAAAAATTGCAAAAAAATGCCTATCTATTTATGCAACGGAAATGGGTTTTGTTTTGGCATTTCCTTGCAATTTTTTTCAAAACTATATGAGCTTACTTAAAATAGTAATAGCAAAAATGATCAGCATGAAAAGATATATCTTCATTGAAAATTAGAGAAAAATCTAACTACTCATTTTGGATTTATTACCACTAAAATATATATTTTCCCAATTCTTAGCAGCTATTTGCTCACATCGTGAAAGTTATAGGAGCTTGATTAAAAGTGTTATCTGCAAAAAGGGTCAGCACGACTGGATATATCTATCCTGACAATTAAAAAAATCTGCCAACTTATTTTTGGAGTGATTGCCCCCAAAATATTCGTTTTTGGCAGTTTCTGGCTGTTATCATGAAAAGTATAGGAGCTTGGTTAAATATGTAAACTACAAAAATTATCAGCATGACAATATCTATCTACTTTGAAAGTTGCAGAACCCTTTTTGGAGTAATTGCCCCTTAAATGTTGATATCAACTGTCCTTTTTGCAGTTTCGGCTGTTATCTAATACCTATATGAACTACGTTAAACATGTGAACGCAAAAAATGGTCAGCATTACAAAATTAACTATACTATTCGCATATAAAAGAGTTAATAAGTAAATTGGTCATTTTTCAACAAGTTGAGCGATACATGCAAATGTGCTGCTCTTGTTTGATTTATCTTGGAGATCGGTTTTTATATGTTTATGACGTCCTTTCACGTTTGTATTTAGTTTTGATTTTGAAATATTTCGGACTTGATCATCACTAAAGAGACATTAATTGTCGAAATGCGCATCTAGTGCAGACAAATTTGGTACCGTAATTTTTGTTTGAAGACGTCGAAGCTATTAAAAAATATCATTAATAATAACGAGTAATCCTGTGTTAGGATGCTAACAAAAAAGTCGCCAATAACGGCTCCTAACCATTGTTCTGCTGTTTCCATAGTAACGGCAGCCGTTTTGGAACATTTCAAAGTCGGATAGTACATGTACACATGACAGGTCACATAACTGTTTAGTTTCATAAAGATTAAACATGTTCAACCAAATTCAAATTTTAGCATTTGTGCTGTTTTCATAGTAACAGCGGCCATTTTAGAAATTCCAAAGTCAAATACCACATCTACAAGTACAAGTGAACATCTGTGTAAAGTTTCATTAGAACTATTTAAAAAAAATTCACATTTTTGCAGTTTCCATTTTAACGGTGGCCATTTTATAAATTCCAAAGTCGAACTGCTGCTATATATGGTGCTTTACATGATATTCAACCAACATATAATATTTTGTATATCGAGGAATAATAGAACACTAGTGTTCTAGCATGTTCCATGAAAATTGACCCCCCAAAATTAAAGGATATGAGAAAAACATGTGGTAAATTTATTTCATTCTGCATTTTTCCTCTTTCAATCTTTTCTGTTTTTATCTTCATAACAAAGAGGGAGTAAATGAAATTGTAACTTTGTTTGTGCATTTCAATTGACATTATTTCTTGTCTGAAAGTTTCGATTTGCAAAGAAACAAGATCTACAACATTTATGGGCAACACGGCGATGTGAATTAGTGAGTAATTGTTCAGTATGTTTCATTCTTGCTACATCATAGCAAAATAAGACAATTTTGACTGTCATAAATAAATTTTGTATTATTTAGATGCTACATTCATACATTTGTACGTGGAAGTAACCTATCAAATACCAATTAATCTATAAATATAGTCACACTCAGTCTAGTTATACCGTCTTGCTGTAGTTGATAAACCAGGAGAAGTACAAGGATCTAAGTCTCACTTATGATAGACTGGTACCCGGCCTTTATTTGACAAGTTTGTTAATATTTGTATATTCAGAAGGCATACTGAATATTTTACGGAGGGGACCAACCTATACTTATGGTAACCCGTCATTTGACGCAAGAATGTGTTTTACGAATGGAGTTCCTGTATAACAATATTCGCGATATGCTGATAATTTCTAACAGTAACTGCATGGTACTAAACCAATTACTGGTACTACAGTATATTCTATGGAAAAAGTATTAAACAGAATAATGCAAAAGTAACGTCATGACGTCTAAAGGCTCTTCTTTGCTAATTTCAGGTCAAAATGGTAATTTTCCTTAATATAGTTCGTCAAAGGCACAGCTCTCTTTAAATCGTACTATTTCAGGAAAACAACCTATTTGATAATATATCAATACCAACTACAACAAAAAATGCCTGGCTGATAATTTTGTTACAGAACCATTTCCGGTCATATGACATTGCTTTGATTCAACAGTTCTATGGATTTTTCAATGATTTTTCGAAAATTGAGTTACCATGATAGCATTTTTGAGGACAACAGAGTGTATTATCTAGCTGGTGTGTAAATTATCACAGAAAATATACGGAAACCCTAGTAAACTGCGACATTTTCATTCCTGTGATTGATGTTCATCTAATTCAGAAACGATCTCACCCCGAAAGGCCTCTATGGAGCACAATAATGTTTGAATTATTCAAAACAAATGTGGTAAAGGCAAATATTTAAATAGAGCAATATATCCGTACATTTCACTTGTTCATCTTTGAATGGAAGTTTTAACAATATATGCACTATCAACATCCATATGAAAGTGGGATTTCGTTGATTTATATGTTGCTGAGTCTTCCAGCCACCCCAGGCAAATCTAACCTTATGTGGACTACACTAATCTTATAAGGTCAATATGACGATATTGCTCTTCAAGTATCAAGTATTTTGGCGATTGCTATTTGATATTCGCGGATAATGCAAAAATGATATTTTTTATATTAATATTTGCCTCATTTAGGTGACAAAATCCAAACCCTCATTTTTCATATAATGCATTACGGTTACGCAATTTGAATTTTATTAATGAGCTAAGAATAGTAAATTTTGTGCGTCAAAAGCGATTTTCTGTATTTACAATCATCGGGAATGCTAAAACCTAAAAAAATTAAAACCCCATGATATACAAATCTTTATATAAATACACTGAAAATGACATTTTTTTCTTCACCGCTTAAAACATTTATCTGCAATGAATTGTGTTTGCGTTAAAAGGTAGACAACGAGTATGTATATTATGTATACTTCCTTGACGCCTGACTACGTTTCAATTTTGATGTTGGCTATGACTTCTAATATATACATGTGTTACTTAAGACAGTTTAAAGGTTACATTTCTAAATTTAGAAGGGATAATTATCTTGTTTCAATGTAGTTAATTTTATTTGAAATCATAGATT